TTGGCCTATGTTATCATGACTTTCCTTTCGAGTATTACACTCAACAAAATCTTACTAATATTATAAATGCGAAAGTATGAATGGGCGGATGTTTGTTGGATTTTGTAGCCTAAACTGCTAAACGGATCTCGATGAAATTTGGTATAGATGTAGAGGAACACATAGGCTATTTGTTTTTTTATTCACACACGCAGAGTCGAGGGCGAAAGCTAGTAAATAAAATGCCAACAAACGCCACTCAATAGGAGAGGTATAACAAATAAGCATCGGGGAACTTTTAGAGCAAAGTCGAAGGTACGTAGAATATAAATGAAACGGAATGCAATTTTAATTAGACTTTCAGCATTTCGTTCTCAAGAGTATTTTGTATAGTTCGATGAATAATTTCTGTTAGAAAATCGCTGCGAAATATTTTAAAAAGGAGCCTGTCCCACCAATTTGTAAATTGTGTGATAACAATCTAACGTGTAAAACATGTGATGGAAATATCGGATTTTGTTACCTTATCTGACAGTGACGTCATTTTTAAGCTATCTGGGCCTCTATCAGTCAGTGATGGGACAGGCTCTAAATGTCAGATAGTCAGTAAAAAAAAAATTTACTCATTTTATGCACATGTTAAAAACACATTAAAGAGTGAGTTGTGATCTTGAACAACTGATTAGAATATTAACGTGTCTTTTAAAACGTAATATCTGCTATTACACAATCGTAATAACGATAGAGAAATATAAAATCAAAAAGCATAAAGCGGAAACATAACATTCTCTGCAAACGCAAATTCGACGGAAGTAATCAAAAATAGCAAAAGTTTTCCGGATGCTAATAAAACTAGGCAACTGTGATATTGAAGTTTCGTAAAGAGAAATACTATTTACTTTACTATCACATTAATAGTAGCTTTGAGAATAACGGGAAGGCTAGAAACAATGTAAATTAACGAATAGAGACAGTTAACTAATTCTCAAATAGATCACAGAACCTGAAGAATGCGATTATCTTTTTTATAAGCCAGAGATAAGGAATGATCATTTAACACCAAATGGGTAAAAAGAAAACTTAAGTAATGTTAAAATTAAAATGTTGCGCTTCTCCGTTCATTTTCTACTTGATTACCTTCCTCGCTTCAAACATCAGTGGCATAGCGAGGCATTCACAGACGACAGCGTCGTTTGACGAGACATCAATAGTTTTTTATTTGAGGTTAAAGAGCCTTTTGACATCAGAGGATGTTTAGTTAGTTTTTCATAATATTATAAAGCTGGGGAAAAAACATTTAAAGACCACTAAGCATCTGGAAGCACGACTGCTATTTTTATGAATAATGTATGCACAATTTTTACATAGAAACAGCAGTAATGGCTGGTGAGGGTTTTAAAAAAATCTTTTAGTTACCTGTATCTGGAACATGGAGACGGTGTCGTCGAGCATGTGCACGCGCACGGCGAGCATCTTGCCGCCCTTGCGAGGCGTGGCGGGAGGAGTTCGCGAACCCGTTCCCCCTGCCCCTCCGCCCGCGCCGTCCACACCCGCCGGCGTACTCGCCGAATGGTGCATACGACCTGATATCACATATGACTTTTACATCGAACTATAACAACCTAATGAGGTAGGAAATAGAGTGTCTGGGAGTAAAGATACTTCCAGAAAATCCATCACGCTATTAGAAGAAAATGGAAAAGGGAGTGAAATTAAAAAGTTTGATGAAACAAACTTTATACAATCGAAAATATTTTTTTATGTGAAAAGTATGTCTGTTTTGATATAGTGTTTAATGTCACACCACTTTAACGATGAAATCGTATCACGGAATTCAGAGCAAGCATTAGACTACGTAAAAGCACTCCAGCGTTAAAACGATAAGTGCGACGTCACAAACACGGGAAATTCCCAGCATACAAAGGACTGGGTTGCTAGTCTGAATGTGATTTAATTGAACTGTTATGACAGTAATGGCAGTTTTTTGATACAGAATAAATGTATTGAAGTGGCCTTTGCATTGGAGGGCAGTAGCCCAAAGTTGATAAAAGCATAATTTTTTTTAATCCCAGTCAATTTTCTGCTATCATATAACTAGAAAGACGACTAGAAATTACTTTACATGTACTAACCACTGTAGTTAAGTTATTATGAGAATTTATTATTCTAAACATATGACACATAGTTACTTTATATACTTGGATATATGCCAATCTAAGCAATGGACAGAATATGTCACAGATAAGGTATACAAAATGCTGCTATAATATGTATCCTTTATTTCAATCCAAAGACGAAATTAAGTAAACAGATTAACATCAAATATATAGCAATAGTCAATACATAGCAAACATTGTGATATTTGACTCTTTATAGTTATTTTGAGTATATTTTATTATCATAAATATATACTTCTGGTGTATCACTCAATTCGATAGAATAAAAATTAATATTATTACTCTTTTTGATTAATAAAATAATCACAAAAGTGATTTATCCAATAATTAGCTCCTTTTAACAAATAATACTTAGTTTTCTATTAAGAACATGAGAAAATATTCAATCTATAATACAACTCTCAAACAATGCTTGTGATGTCAAAAGTTATACAAAACACAATAGACAAGTCCCTTTTGTTTCACTCCCTATTTCATATATGGTATTCAACCCTAGTACCTGAACATTTTACTTTAACATAGAAATATTCTCATAAGTAAAACAAAATAAAAACATTGTTACACAACAACAGTCTTAATCCTCAACTTGATTAATAAACATATTAAAATAGCTAACAACATAATAATTGACACTACCATCTAAATCAGGGATGGCAAACCAATGGCACAAACATTAAATCTGCACTATGAAATTTAAAGTAGATATTACATGAGGAACTTTTGTGAGTTGTCTCTGCTCTTTTGATGTTGCTAAACAAATTCAAACATAATTGAGAGTGGCTTCCAAACATTTCTTTTAAGGGATTCCAATTTAATATGTAAAGGTTCTGCATCTCTGATCTATTGAGGTATTTAATACAATAATATCCAGAGACTGTAAACTTTACTTACCCGGTAATGTGTGGTAGCCTATTGTGGACAGATGTCCTGTTGAATTACAGCTACCCGGAGGAAGCTCCGACTCCATCATATTGCTTTATTATCACTCTGCTGCAATAACACACATACCCCAACACTAACTGCCATTATATGGCTTATGATCAACAACCAAAACTTAATTTTGATGTTATTTCTACACCTGTGGACAAAGAAAGGTTGTCATTTAATATTTTATGTAAAAAAACCTTAAAGAAGGAATTCTAATAAACATCTCTAAACAATTTTTTTTGCTATAAGAAGAAGAGCTATCAGTGTGTTTTGGTCCCATGCATTATTAAAACACAGGACAGATTATAGTATGTCTTTGGCAATAAAAATACATATTCATCTAGCAATTCTTATAAGAGTAAAAATTTTGGAGCACAGTTTTTACAACCAAATATTTAGTTTTACTTGAATATCATTACATTCATGTAACAATCTCTTTTATGTTTTTTTTGTTATATGTCTAGTATGAAAATATTTTTTTATTCTCTCTATTGTATTATAAAGCTTCTGCTTTATATTAATGCACTGTAATTTAAATTATTTGACTTTAACAACATTGGGTATTTAAATGTGGGAAAAAAAATTAGAATTCTAATCAAAATGTTTCCTTGCATATGAATTGCTAAATTGGTAAAAAATACTTCTTATTAAAAATTAGATAATTTCGTTAAATTAACACTTCAAGCCTTTATACACTTTTATCTTATACCATTCAGTAGTAAATCATAAATAACAATTAATGACCAAACATTTAACATAATTAACATAGTTGTATTACACACCTACCTTTTACTACAGTTATATACACAAAATTACTGAATTCAATAAATACAACACTATTTTAAAAGATGTTTGAAAAATTTAAACTAAGGTCCAGTTAAGTACTCTTAAATTAAATCTTTACTGCATATGATGCAGGACCGGCGCCCCAATTCGCACCCTTAGACATAAATAGTAGCTCCGATGCAATAACCAGAAAATAGGTCAACGGAGGTGTGCCCGGCCACCCTGACAGAGACAACAACACCCTCGACGCATCGTAATCCTGTGCAAATTCAATTACAACTTTGGTACTTAACAAATTCCTGAATAATTTATCAAAGCAATGATAACAAATCTAAAATTCTCTCATATATGAATAAACTTTTATCTTACTTTTAATCGTTTAAACGAGGGAAGCAAAGCAGCCCCAACCTCCAGTATTACGATCTGTCAACCACCAAGTTCAGTCATTAATCTTGTTCATGTAATACACTATACACATCTAACAATTGCCACTTTTATATTACACTCCCGCTATCACTAACTTAAAAAAAACAATACATGCAGTTTTAATTTCGTTTTATTATTTTTACACAACATTTGTCATTTTTGGTTCACACACCCTGAACCGCACGCGCGCCATATTTATTTACTTTGTCAATGTTGCCCTGACAGTGACAGAGTGTGTTTTTTTTAAAAAAATGCATTGAATGAAAAGGTTTGAGAAATTAGGGGAAAAAGGCCGAATTCAAATAAAGTATTAAAAACAAATAGTTTTAGATTAGCTGTCATTTTACCATATTGGTCATTTAAATGGCTTAGAAAACAATTTTAGTAAAATATCTGTTGATCTTCAATAAACAATATGTCTTCAAATGTCTGTCAAACTTGCCTGATGTCAGACTGTTCCAAACGTCAACAAAAGAGGTCATTGTTATGCAGTATTGTGTTTATTTATCTGAATTTGTTTCTCATTACTAATTAGGCTAATGTTTAATGTTTTGAACAAAGATTTGTGTGTAAGATATAAAGTATGATAGTTTGAGTTGATAATAAATTGACAAATATGGAAACTACTCCACTTTTGACACGACCCAAAAAGAAATCCATCTGGTCAAGGTACAATAATTATTTTTCTTCCTTTTTGGATTATTGTTCTCTTACTAAACAAGTTTTATTACATTAATTCCAGATTCCGTTTCACAAGGTTTCGTAAGAAGGAATTTAAGTCTAGAGTAATTTATTTAGGACAATTACCTGAAGAGGATTATCCAGCAAACCGTGTTTGTAATCAGGTGAGATATTAATTTATTATTAGAATACCATTTACATAAACATTCATAAATCGAATGTAAATATTTTTCGTTACAGAAATATAGCATTATTACATTCCTGCCATTAGTACTGTTTGAACAGTTCCGCTTCTTCTTGAATTTGTATTTTCTTGTTATGGCCTTGAGCCAGTTTATACCGAGTATAAGAATCGGATACTTGTACACATACTGGGGGCCACTGTGCTTTGTGCTTGCTGTTACATTGTTCAGGGAGGCTATTGATGACTTCAGAAGATACAGGTAATCATTCAATCTTACTAATAATATAAATGCGAAATTTTAGATGGATGAGTGTATGTTTGTTACTTGATATCTCTGGAATGACTTAAAAGATCTCACTGAAATTTGGCATAGATGTAGAATATTGTATGGATGAAGACTTAGGTTACTATATTATAGACAACCTTTTTTTTAATTCTATTAATATCATAGATGTAAATTATATACAAAAATAAAACTTATACTGTTTAATGATGGATATAACATAACAAAGAATAATTTAAATGTTTTGCATTTCAAAGAGTAATAACATTTTGTCTGCACAGCTTATCTTTTATGCACTTTTGTATATGTTCTGATTAATATTACCATTATGTAAAATACTATAAACGTCTAATTTCATTTGCAGAAGAGATAAAGAAGTAAATAGACAAAACTATGAGCGTGTAGTTTTAGACACTCCAACAGATGGATACCGTCCATTTTACACAGAGTATGTGTCCGCATCAGCTCTCAGAGTGGGTGACATAGTAATGCTTCACAAAGGTCAGAGGGTGCCAGCGGATATGATATTACTAAGGACTAATGAGACTATGGGCACTGTGTTTATACGAACTGATCAATTGGACGGAGAGATTGATTGGAAATTACGGTACGAAATTGTAAAAAATATATTTCAGCTTTGTTAATTAAGAAATAGAAGCCTCTAGTGGTATTCCTTGTATGAAAAATGTTTTGTTCCTCACAGCAGTATATAAAACTGCATATCACAATTAATTCTTTATGGCTTACTCACGTATACTTTTTTCCGGTGACGACATCAACCAGTTTCAGACCCTGCGGGGGTTCTTCTGCAGGACCCTCGCCCTGAAACTGCCGTAAATAATTAATTATAAAATGTCTCACGAAAGTTTAAATAATTTAACTGCATATCCACTAATGTCATTGCACAGTAAAAGTTCTGTGACCACAACAGATAAGTTAATTACAAATATGAGGACAAAGACAAAATATAAACATAAAACTTTAAAGTCTTATCTTTTATGATTCACTAATATTCAATTATATTTCTTTTAGTTATGATATCAATTATCTCTATGTTGATGTTTGCTAATAGTTTTTTTATATTTTTTTTAGAATACCATTGCCTTCAACTCAAAAGCTGCCAACAGATGCGCACCTACTAGATATAAATGCACAGATTTTTATAGAAAAGCCAGAGAAAGATATCCATTCCTTTATCGGCACATGTACCAGGTTGGATGAAGAAGAAAGTGATTCTCTAGATATTGAGAATACACTTTGGAGTGGATGTGTTGTTGCATCGGGACAGGCCACCGGCTTGGTTATATATACTGGTATGTTACAAATATTTTATTTAGAATGTCATCAAAATTTAAATAATACTATTATATTATAGCTTAGATTTATTAATTATGAAAATATTGTCTAATTCCTTTTTAAATAAAAACAGTAAACATTAAATATTTCTCTAATTCAATTAATTTGGTATTTCAAACATCTTTCCAAACGTGAATTTTATATAACGTTTAATTTGTGTTTCGAAGTTATTTCAAGGTTATATTTCAACATAAGTTACTGTCATTTTTTACAATACCATGACTGGAAAATCATTCATTTTATATTATCCTATACATTTTCACATATCTCATACAAAAATCTTTGTATCCAGGTATAGAAACTCGCAGTGTAATGAACAATGCAGTACCTAGGTCGAAAGTAGGACGTCTAGACCTACAGGTGAACGATCTGACGAAAGTTCTGTTTGTTGCAACTATACTCATCTCCTTCTTACTGATAACACTCAAAGGCTTTGATGGACCCTGGTTTGGATTCTTCTTCAGATTTGTGTTGTTATTTTCATACATTGTTCCAATCAGGTGAGTTATTTTGTATAATTTAGAATGTATGAATATTTTAATTTATCTTACTAATATTTTAAATACAATGGTTTAGTTACTTCCAGACTTTATGGCCTTAACTACTAGACTTATAAAATTCGGCATACATAGGTATAGAGGATAATCTAGAAGAACATATTGGCTACTTTTTTAAGTCCATGCAAAGAAACTGTAAAAAAGATAGAAAGAAGAATCTTTCTTTCTAGAAACTGTACAATACTACTTTTGACAACTATAAATTATATATTTTATGTAAATTCAACATTATTTGTATCATATTTAATCTATTGTCCACAAATAACTAAATCTTTTGTCGACAGTTTAAGAGTTAACCTAGACATGGGGAAAGCGTTTTATTCATGGACGATACAGCGAGACAAACAGATTGAGGGTACGGTGATGAGATCCACAACTATACCGGAAGAGCTCGGTCGGATACAGTATCTCCTCGCTGATAAAACTGGCACATTGACTAAGAACGAGATGGTCTTCCAGAAACTTCATTTACAAAATGCAATGTTTGATAGAAATAATTTTCATGAGGTAAGTAAAGTAGTAAACGTAAATAAGTTGTAAAGTAAAGTAAGTTTTCTGATAAAATTTCAGTATAGAATATTTTAATATCGTTAAATGTGAATAAAACATATGCTATTTCAAATAGATGCATAAACTATATAAACAATGAGTACATTTATGTTCACAGGAAATCATATTTAGGTAACATCTTGTAACACAAACATATTATATTACAAATGCAAACACTTATCAGTAACTAATGTTTGTTTCTTTTCCTTTGGAATAATATTTCAAGTTAGTATTATGAATGCGACGGTATTTATGGGTGTTTGTTTGCATACCGCTTAAACTGATTAGGCGATATCGAAGAATCGACAGGTGTATGGTTCTTAATCTGAAAAAACACAACGCTACTTAATAAGTCTTTTTTTTTAATTCCGCAGAATATCACAAACAAAAGTTAATAATTGTATTTCTTAATATTTTTCTTATGTAAACATATTTGTATTAGAAATATCCTTATTCATAGGTGGAAGCATTCCTGACCCAATACATAACGAACGACGTACCTTCCCTACCTACGTCGCCTACAGGCCAGGGTGCCTCGTCTACAGGCCGGGGCGCCTCGTCTCCAGGCCAGGACGCCTCGTCTCTAGGCCAGGGCGCCTCGTCTACGGGCCAGGGCGTCGCGCCCACGCCCCGACAGATATGGGAAGTGGTGCTTGCCATCGCACTCTGCCACAACGTCACACCCGTCTATGATATAGAGGACCAGAGAGCTGATGAAGCTCAGTCAGGTAACTGGCAACTTTTAAATTAACTTTAAATATGACACCAATCATAGAAGCTTATGCCACAATCAATACTTCAGTAATTATATTGTAAAACGAAAATATTGTTTGCATGTAAAACTACTGGACCAATTTCATTTTTTTGTTTAAAACCGCATGGATGAAGCCGCGGACAAAAGCTATTTAAGTGAAAATAGTCTAACGGCCGAATACTGAAACGACATTTAAATGTAACAGCATCTTAAACCCCGAATTCCATAAAAAATTGACGTCTGTCAGGTTGTAAGCGGCGCTTAGTAGTGAACTGTTTAAGATTTGTTTCAATATCTGCTATAAGTAAGAAAATAGTGAAATAACGAGATTCAAAGTTACGGTTACGTAATTAGATAACCACTACATTGGGGTTTGAATGATCTGTTACCAGACATGGGCAGCTCTATGATGTCGGACAGCTGCGGGGGCGCGGTGCCGCAGCAGCAGCTGTGCGACTACCAGGCTGCCAGCCCTGACGAGGTCGCACTCGTCAAGTGGACAGACATGGTGACATGCAATACTACGCTAACACGATAACATAATTCACCCACTAATCACATCTCACTAGTATGTCGCGGAAATTCGCGATGTCCCACTTTCAGAATAATTGTCCTATTCCTAGCATCAAGACAAACTCTACCCATCTTTAAAATAAATAATTAAAAAAGATAGCAGTAAGTTAAGAAAATTATGGCATAACAAAAAATAATTAACCGTGTACCACTATTTACCGATATTTTTAGGTATGAGTACATGTAAAAGCAGCGTCATATTTAAATTGCTTAAACTATCGTGAGACATTACTTTAAGCGAAAATTAATTAAAAACGGTTCAACTCACGCTTTTATCCTCCGGTGACGTGACCGCGAACAAAAGGAACCGCGAAGAAGGATCCCCCAAGGGTCCGAAACTAGTCGGTGCCGTCACCGGAGGATAAAAGCGTGAGTTGTGCCGTTTTTAATTAATGTTTGCTTAGCGTCAGATTTGTTAATATTTCGCGTCGTCTCAATGCGTATGCAACGTTCGAGCTACTGTAATACGACTGTAATGTGCCATAACACCAAATTCCCCGACTGTACATTATTCAGACGGAAGGCTAATGAATGTAATTTTTATTTTTTCCTTTATTGCCGTTTAAGTGACGGAATAACGATTTTAAAATCATTTTAACATTCTTTTAAAATGCCAATTGTGGTTTTTGTTAGATGGGCGTGTCGCTGTACAGACGGGACTTACACAATATATCTCTGAAGCTGCGCGCGGCCAACGAGATCATGCAATTCAACATACTGCAGGTCTTCCCCTTTACCAGCGAGAGCAAGATGATGGGCATCATTGTACAGGTTTGCATAATTATTTAAACCACGCTTATACTTCGACTGTACATTTTTTGAAGGAACTTGTGATGCGAAAGTTTTTTCAATTAGGAAAAAACCTTTGTAACGCGCCTAAATGTAAAATTGTAGAATACTATGAGATATAGATTACTAGAGCCACATACTTATACCTAATTTTTCCCCAATGTGTTTGAAGCGTAAAATCCGTTATATACCTACCTAGAGTTACTAAAGGAACTACATATATAGTGTACACTAAGCGGCAAACTTAGTGACTGACTGAATGCGGTAATAAGTATTGTAAATCCAACAGGAGGAGAACTCTGGTGAGATAACATACTACGTGAAGGGCGCAGACGTGGCTCTAGGTCGTGCGGTGGGCGCGGTGGGCGCGGTGGGCGCGGCTGGAGGCGCGGGCTGGCTAGGCGCGGAGTGCAGTGCCCTCGCCGCTGAAGGCCTACGTACGCTCGTCGTCGCCAAGAAGACCATGACCAAGAATGAATATCTAGAGTTTGAGGTTAGAATACTATTAAAAATCTTTAGATGCTCTTAAAAGGCTGTCCTTCTCTCTTCGTCTTTTAAAGATTTTAAAGAGAATTTTTGCTTATTTATTGAAGTATTATTTTTTATTATTGGTAGTGTTACGACGAAAATCAATACTACATTGGAGGATTGGTGCAACACTAGAACAACAGCATATACGTCCCATCCCTATGATATCTGTCAATGTCATTCAGACGTGTAAACGCGCCATTCTGGCGGGAGTCGATGCTCAGATGCTTATGTTGTTAAAATTGTAATGTCTGTCCTGTCTCACCAAATTATAAACTGTCTGATAACAATCTAACTATCAGATTTTGTTCCTTTATCTGACAGTGACGTCATTTTAATCTATCTGAGACTCTATCAGTCAGTAGTCAGTATCAGTGGTGGGCACTAAAAGTTGTTATAATAGGGTTATTCTGAATGTTGTAGAGCGAGTACAACGAGGCCCGGCTGAGCGTGATGTGCCGCAGCGAGCGCACGGCGGCGGCGCTGCGCGGGCTGCAGCGCGGCCTGCAGCTGCTGGGCCTCACCGGGGTGGAGGACCGCCTGGCGGAGGACGTGCCGCGCACCCTCGCTATGCTACGCACTGCTAATATAAAGGTAAAAATATAATAAATACTACGGAAGAAATAACTTGTAGGCAGTCAAAACGGTGCGTGCGGAGCCGAAACCGGACGAACCGCGCGCCTCTCCCGCATTTCGGCTCGTATGAACCGAGGGTCGTGAGGCCCTGGGTGGTGGTGGGCTATTAGTATTAAATAAATTTTATTTATTTTATATATTTATCATATTTTCATTTGCAAATGTCAAAATCAAATGCACAAATGACAACCATGGCAAGCTTGCTTCCTTAATGTTGGCAGCTTGTAGTTTATGGTCCCTTTTCCACATGGACGATATTTTCAATTTATTTATTTTAACAATTTAAAGCGTGAAAATATATAATCTAAAGCCTGTCGAAAAGATCCTTTTATTAAAATTAATTATTTAAGAATATGCTGTGATTGTTGACATCCTACGCAACAAATTAGTGTGTGTTTAGGATTTATTTCGAGTATTATAGTATAGATATGTTCAGAATCGGCGATTTTGTCAGCGTAGGTGTCGTTTTTTTCCTGAAAATGAAAATTGTAAATGGCTCTTCTGAACATTTAACCTAATGGCGCTTAAAACAATTGGCCTTCCACTTTTTGCTGCCTATGGGCTGCATATATGTATATGTGTGGTCAGATATGGATGTTGACGGGCGACAAGCTGGAGACGGCGCTGTGCATCGCGCGGTCGCTGGCGCTGGGCGGCGGGCGGCGCTGGCTGAGCGCGCCCGAGTGCAGCTCGCGCAGCGACGCGCACCGCCTGCTGCGCGCGCTGCACGCCGCCGCGCACGACACAGACCTCATCATCGAGGGGGAGACGCTCGAGGTAACTGCACCTAGGGGCTGTCCATAAATTACGTCATCGATTTTTTCACACTTTAGACCTCCCCCCCCTACAATCATCCTATCGTCATTTCTTAATGACCCCCCCCCCCTTCTCCAAAAATTGACGTCATTACCAGTTTGACGAAATTAAAATTGCAGATTTGAGAAAAATAGGGTATTATTTTTACCAAATTATGTCGCCAATCACCTTTTTTAATCATTAAAAAGCAAGCACACAGTGGTAGACCGCTTTAACATCTTCGAACGAATAACCCGGCTCGCCCGTAATATCACTACCACACAGAAGACAGGCGTGAAGTGGGAGCAATTCCGCGTACAATCTGATGAGTGTGGTTCCGGAGGCCTAATTTTAGTCCCTTTCCCTTTCCACCCTTTTTTGAAAAGGAAAGGATGGGAAGGTAAAATGAATTTGACGGTGGAGGAGATGCATAGGAAGGGGAAAAGTCCTATTTATGTGCGTCTCTTCTCTCTATTAAGGGTAGCAATTGCGGATGTTTATGGGCAGCGGTCACTTTCCATTTCAGTGGATTCAGGTGGCCGCTTGCTCGTTTGCCTCCTTATATTATAAAAAAACAATCATAATTACGCTTTAGCATATATGTTATCAGACTATTAAACTTAGTAAGGTGACATTTATCGCTGTATATTTTTGAATGTTTCTTAATAAGAAGACCTACACTTACGACACGATTTAAGCTATGCTTTTCATGCTAATAAACTTAGGGGGTAAATAAATTGGAAAAAATCTTCATGTGAGAAAGGAACCATAAACTGCACCAACATAAAGGAAGCAACGATGTCAAAGGCCTACTTTGTCATTTGAATTTAGCGCGGATTTATTCTGATATCGTACCTTTCTAATGAAGTAAGAATTTTTAAATAGACCCAGTAGTTTTTGAGTTATTTTTATATATGCAAAAATCTATTTCCCCTTTAATATTAGTATGTGCGTGTGTGTGTGTGTGTGTGTGTAGGTGTGCCTGCAGACGTACGAGGAGGAGGTGGTGGGCGTGCTGCAGCGCTGCAGCGGGGTGGT